TAATATCACTTTAATACTTTATTTGGGTACCAAACCTGGTATAAGTTATTCCGGGATTAAAATTTGTACCGATATAACTTATACCTTCTTCTTAGAAATTATACGATTGTCATTTTTATTATAACATACCAAACAATAGATAAAAAATAATATCAGAATAATTAATCCCAAAATAACTAATCCCAACATAACTTATCTCGGCATAAACCGTATTTAGACGAAACGATCCCTTAAGGAGTTTATTGTGTACTTCGTCGTTTGAAACTTTTAATCGAACGTACAGTAGTATTTATTTATTGTCAGTTGTCACAGAAACTTTAGAAATATTCTCCATCTTAAATATAACTTAGCCAGCAGATAAAAAATAGTAGTATAAATTTTTTATAAATATATAATGATGAAAAATATACAATTAAAGAAAAAAAGATCATAGTTTAGAACTTAAAATAAATTCAAAATTTACAATATTTTAAAAATTATACAAAAGTAAATTATGTGACACCATGTAAAAAGATATGTCAATATTTACGAATGTTACAAAATAGGAAAAGAAAATACTTCTGACATTTTAATTTATGTAATTCTGTTTGACCGTGTATATTATTTAAGAAAATAATAAATAATTTAAAACACGCACGGTTATTTTCGTAAATAGTATTAAATTATGTAACTAAAAACAACATAAGTAATTTAAATTTAAACTATTCTTAAAGATATAGAATATCATCCAATTCTATATATAACGTTCTTCTTACTTGATTCTTTTGGCCAACTTAGTCAAAGAACAAAACGTCATTATATATTTATATTGTGTCAATATAAAACTCTTGCATTATTAAAATAATAAACTTATTAAGAATTTTGTCCCCCAGCACTTAAAATCATTGGAAGATAATGTAAAGCATGAATATGTCCAAAGATTTTTAATTATATAATAAGTAATTAGATACCTTTTAAACATTCTAGGAACTTTTACTAGAATTTTTTGGCGTATAATGGAAGAAAAATACTCTACTTTAATATATTATAATTAAACGAAGGATACTGCCAATATTTGGACGCAATTGCTTCTATTTTTATTTATTTATTTATTTATTTTTTGTGCTTTGTTCTGTTCAAATGCAACATCGCTGAGTTGTTTACCAACTTAATCACAAATTAATTAATATTACTAATTAAAAAAAAGATTATATTGTCCCCATTATAATATCCCATTTTAATATACACTGTCCTACAAAGAATAATCCATTAAGTAGGCATTTGGATATACATTTCAATTTTTTTTTTTGGAATTTGAAATTTCACTAAAATTTTAATTGAAGGTAAAGTTGTGTTTGGTTATAATATTTGCAACATATTTGGGTGTCCTTTTCTTCAAAATATAAAACAAGATTTATATCCCGCAACTTGTAAAAATTATCAAACCACCCCAATTTAATTATCCTCTTTGAAATAAACAATCAAAATGCTATTGTTTAACTCATATTCTGCTTTACTGCGACACACAGAAGATACAAAATCAGTATCACATTTTTTAATTCTACTGATATACAAAGAATGAATTTAAGCCAAAAATAACATGAATATGATCGAGTTATTCTTTAATAACTGCTGGGATCATTTTATCAATTTTAAAAGTATGGGGTAAAATTTATAAAACTAAAAACTAGCAAATTCCCATTTTCAATTGAAAAACTAGTGAGAACCAGTTTTTCAAATTTGAAAATGGATTTTTAAGTGAAGTTGAAAATTTTGGTAAGAATGATATAACCAAACATTGTTTTGAAAAAAAGGAATAATTTTGTATGTCCAAACGGGCAGTTTGACACGTCAGATACATTAATTGTGTGTACTTTATCTAATTTAATTCAAAACGATAATTAGATGGCCACTTCACTAAGGTACTATGGGATCACTAAGGCCGATTTTCGTCCATGTTCATCGAGTGAGTCTTGTGCTCAAGCTTCCTTCGATCGGCGCGTTTATCAAAAGAAGATTCATGATTTCTTGTTAAGCTTAACTTTCAATTAGGGTCGAATTTAATATTTGATAAAACCTAAGTAAATTTCTCCCCATATATACTTATATTTTGCGTCAAAAAACCGCCTAATTCATTTAAACTCAGTAAATATAGTTGTATTTGTGTATGAACAGAATTCATAGACGAAACCAAGATTTGAACCTTATGTTTCGAAATTTTAGTATATTCTTAAGAAATTATGTTTTAAATTAATAATATATATAATTAATAGATGTCTTACAAAAAATAGAGAGTTAGGCTGAAACTATTCGATTCGGTCAAACCCACAACCGAAAAACTAGTTCCGCCCATGAGTATGACGGTTAGGAAAATCCTAGTGATTAGTGAAATGAACCGTGATTATTACTTATGCTTAGTGGAGTGAATTAAGCGAGTAAATTATAATTCTCTACTACATAACTCAATTTCGATATTTCTAATTGAAAAGGCATAATAGTTAAAGACCCTCTTGAACTTGACGCTTTTTGGCGAATGTATACCTTAACTATTCGATTTCCTAGATACCTCCTTCAACTTGGTTTTTTGAAAGTTAATAACTTTCAAAAAAATTAAATTGAAGAGAATATTTAGGACCTCGAATAATTAAGGTGTATACTCGCCAAGAAATACCAAATTTAAGGGGATCTTTAACTATCCCGAAATTGAATAAAAAAGGACTCCATTCATTCTATCGCAATCTTTATCGACGAATAAAGCAATTTCACCGCCAAGTAAAATGAATAATAAGAAGATAAAAGCCATAAAAGTTAGTGCCATTTACCATGATTATGACTTTCACTTGGTCCACAGTTAATGAAAACATGCAACGTGGTAATAATACCACCTTTTTATATGTGATAATGGTAATTTAGTGGAAGTGAGGATCATAATTACCATCCAGCTAAAAAGATTTTTATTTCTTCTAGTTCACAATAAGTGATTTTTTAACTTTTTTCGTGTGATTCAAAATAAATAATTTTTTTAAATTTTAAGAATGAATTAATAATTTTTTTCTATATTACCTTTGAAATAAATAATGTTGGAGTATGTGTTAGGACTATTTATGTGAAGAAATAATAAAAGCATATATATTTAATTTTATTGCTAATTAATATTAAAATATAAACTTCTTAATATGTATGAAAAAACCTAAAAATCACTTATTTTAAACCAGATAGAGTAGTACTCCCTCCGGTCCAGAATAAGTAATTTTTTAATTATTTTTAAGAAATTCATCTTTTAACATTAATTAGCAATGAAATTGACTATATTAACCTTTATTATCTCTTCACATAAATTCGCCTAACACATACTTCAACACTATTTACTCCAAAGGCGGTGTAGAAAAAAAATAATTAATTCATTTTTGAAATCTCAAAACATTACTTATTTTGGACTACAAAAAAAAAAATCAATTATTATAGACAAGGAAAAATTGTGTTTAACTCTAGAAATCAAAGATTTTGACTAGTACATGTGTGAACACATTCACTTAATTAGTGAAATAAATTAGTACTTTACTCTATCTTAAGTTAGCTTTTTGACAAGAAAGCAAGAAGCTTTTATGTACTAACGTCTCATTTGTTTGTACTTAATTAAGGTTTAAATTTGAATAAATCAGATCTTAACCCATTAAGTATATTTAATTTTTTATTTTTAAAAAGTCATAAAATTGCACGATATGCCCTATTTGGTCGCCCCATTTAACCTAAATCTATATTTTTAAAATTATTTAACCTATACCCTAATTTTTACAACTTCAAGCGCCGCCTTCCTGATACTTGTGCAAAACATTAGCTTATTTAGTGTTGAAGTTTTTACAAATGAACTAAATAACTTCAACATCTTCTACTGAAGTTTTTAAAAAAGCTTTTATGACAAAACTAATGAAAACTTCAGTTAAAACATGCTTAAGTACAACAAATAGAGAACAAAGTTCATCAATTACAAACAAATTCAGGCTCGTCTATTAGAATGATGAAGTTTATGTGATTGCCTTTGCTACTTCAAGCCCATATACCTGAAATTTATGCAAAAAATGAATACGCTTGTAATTTTTTCCTATTTTGTGTTTAACATCATACCATTTACTACATTTTTGAAATCTTCAAACAGATTATTTGCTTAGAAATATACAATTTATCTTCTTCATGGGTGGTTCATGGGTGGCTCAAGGATGCCTTCGCTTTAGGCCCCAAAAATTTGAGTCCCCAAAAAGTGTTGCAAAATGTGATAATATTTTGACTTACACAATTTTGAACTTTGTAGAAAAAGGTATAAAATCCATGTAAAAAAGGTTTTAAAAGAACAAAGAATATTTACTTTTTAACATAAGAAATATTCTATAACTTAGAATTAAACTACTTAAATCTTTGTATTAGCAAATAAAGTTTTTTACATCAAGATCCAAGGTAATGCATCGCAAACATATGGCTAACATCTTACTAATTTGATAAATAATAATAATATTACTAAATGAAGCTAAAAGTCATATATTTTGTATGAATACTTTATGTTCAAAATATTTTTTCGTTACATTTTGTTACTACAATTGTTGTTACTTATATATAATTTTCATTTATTGTTCAAATAGTTTAACAATTGGATCTTACATAAAATATTAACTTATATCTCATAATATTTCAATTTATCTCAAATAATAACTTTTTTTGTTCAAGTTAAGATTGTTACTAATTGGTATAATATTTAATCACTTTTTTTTGAATTATATATATATATATATATATATATATATATATATATTTTACGTATTCAGATGTTGAAAAACAAACAATCTTAATCATTCAGTGTTCAGATCTGCATACCACATCTTAATATTCAGACGTGCATTCAGATTCAGACGTCTTAATCTTAAAAAAACGAACGAGGTCTTAATATATAAATATATTTTTTATAATTTAAATTTATTCGGTTATAGATTTATACGGTTTTATTAAAAAAACGTCTGTCAATTTTAAAATATCCCACGCCTCTTAACGTAACCGTCGGCTAGTCTCCTACTTTAGGCCGCCGTCACTTCTCTCGTTGGTCCGCCACTCTCCGCTTTGTAACCACCATCACAACCTTCTTCACCGCCTCTTACACCCAAAAGCACCGTAAGTACCATGACCACTAACTCTGTGCTTGAACTTATTGTCTAACAACAAACAACAATTTCAAAAGTTTCCAAGTATTAATATTGCTTAATATAGTTATTAGTTTCTAATTCATCCCTAAACACTTAAGTTATTTTTGACTGTTTGTTTTTTTAGTGTTGCTTGCTCGATGAATTAACATAGGCACTTGTTATATTTTTGGTGTTTTTTTCTATTAGGGTTTGGATATCGCTATGGAGGAGCAATCATTCTTTAACAAGTTCCTTATCAACCTTCGTTCCAATTGCAAGTAAGTCTTTTTTTCCTTCTCTTTTTGTATATGTCTTAAATTTTAATGGATTTAAGTTATATACACGAACAGTATAAAGAATTTTTTATAGTAACAGAGAATTTTAACCTGAGATAGCATGTTACTTACCATTTTTACCTGATTGTGTAAATATTTTTTAAATTGTCAATGCATACAACTTAAACTCAATTTTAATAAGTGTGCGCGAGCATAACGGCATATAACTAAAAAAGTGCTTAAAAGCCAATATGCACTTATAACAAGCCAATCCAAACACCATCATAATATGGTGATAAATCTGTAATTGATGCGATGTGAAACTGTGGTTTCAGCACCTCCAACTTAGACAATTAACCAATAGACAAAGTACCATTGGTGATATAATTGCATTAGAGGTGAATACATGATTTGAACTTTTTGGGTTCGGGATACCCCTGAACCCACTGGCCGTTTTAGCTACTTGGTTCGAAGTTTAATATATGTACATATATTGTGCATCCGCCCCTGAAGTGCATTATATGCGTACGTTTTTATGTGGTTGGGCAAGGAGTTTACTTTCAGTTATTCCATGGTTAATTTTTGGCAGATAGTCTTTCTCTGTCCAGTAGTCTGCATAATGTTGTTGGCTTTGCTGCTGTGACATGCTCGCTCGGTGTTATTGGTGCAACGAGAGAAATTGTTTGGGCCTTTCCATGCTGCTTTTGCTTTATTTTTAATTGGGTGTTATTTTATGCTAGTTTAACTTTGTCTTTTGGTATTGAAGATATTATACAGGCTATCCTAAGGATCTTGGACCATCGAGGGTTATTCACTTTACCTCAGAACGGGAATTTGTCCAACTTCTCCATCAAGGCTACCCTGTAGTTGTTGCATTTACGATCAAGTAATAAAAGTTTGTAATTTCTCTTCCCTGTCCTCCTATCTTCTTTAGTTTATCACATTGATATCTTTCATGTAAATTTTTGGATGCTGTAGGAGTAACTACACCAAACATCTTGACAAAGTTCTAGAGGAGTCTGCAGCTGAGTTTTATCCACATGTAAAATTTTTACGTGTAAGACACTTACGTGGACCTCTCTTTTGAGTACAGATAGAATATAATGCTAGTTTACTGCAAAAAGTCTTTTCAGGCGTCTGTACTGTGGCCATCTACGAGTTTGTTACCTCTGTTGGAGATATGCGAGTTTTAAGCCAAAATTGTCGTTGGTTTAACTTTGTCCTTTATCTATTACCCTAAGCGCCTATTGTCCTTTAAGTTTGCTAAAGTTGTGCAGTTCGGAAGATGCATGGGTCTTTGTCGTCAGTGGGGAAAAAAGAGACTTTGACCGAACTGTTCTTCTTCTTTGAAGTCCCAATTCCATTTTTCCCCAATTTGTTTAAACTCATCAGAGCCACATCTTCCTTCTCTTGTTGCTATACATGCCATTTGCCTTTAGTAGCAACTTTAATTTTGCCTTTTATCAATTCTTTCCTTCCAAATTTTGATTGAAAGAGAATAGGAGAGGGACAACGAGGAGGGAACTAAAAAAAATTAATTTTTTCGCATCTCCAGATTAACGAGGAATGGTCGATGAGCTTTTGATCTCCAGTGAATTTTATCAAATCAGGCGACGAGGATTTGGTGTATATATATTTTGGACTTGCTCTTGCCCGTAAACTATACGTATACCTATTAACCCAATCTAACTTTGAAAGCTCACCTAATTCTGTGTTTGGAAATTGTGAAACAAAATGTAAGATCTCTTATTATTCACTGCATTGGTGCTGCAAAATTTGAGTACCGGAAGTTTCTTTACCTAGTTGACTCAGTGAAACTACCATTCTATTTGGGTCTTCTGTTAAATGGACTAAACCTGCTTAACTCGCAAACTTAAAGGACAATAAGTGCTCATGGTAATATATAAAGGACAAAGTTAGACCTACCTAAAAGATAAGGGACAATTTTGACTAAAAATTCGGAGATATGCAAAAGGCCTCATTGTTTTGAATTCTGATAGCATAATGATGTTTTCCCAGCTTATACATAACATCGTCCACGTTTTCATTATTATTTTGTATTTTCAGGTCGAATGCCCGAAGTACCCTGGTTTTTGCATAACAAGACAAAAAAAGGAATATCCATTTATAGAGATATTTCATAGTCCAGAACAGGTACTTCTGTAGTGTCGTGGCATTATATGTTTATACTAGAAGTGGCTTATGAGTGCCTTAATAGAGATGTAGAAAATAAGATGCATTTTCTACAATCTGATAGAAGATTACTGCGTTCATCTGATTATATCTTGGTTCCTTTCCTCATGAGAGTGCTCAAATTTGGCCTACATGACTGAAGGGAGATGTTGTATTTTTTGTAAACAAACTTATTCCTTACAAGAAATTTGTGAAAAAGGTACAAATGCAGCAGAAGGATTTATGTCTCTCTGAACTAAATACAAGATGAAGGAGGTTTGCATGGCTAAAGTACACTCTGTTATAATAGGGGGAATTTACTAGATTTACTTTGTGATTGAATTTGTTCTGGGTAACTTATAGAGCATATTATTAGGCTATGTCGAATACGGTGAAGAGAGGGAGTAGATTTATTCTTCTGTACTTGTGTGCAGTGGAAGTATGATAGGTTGTCATATGTTGTTTATGCTGCATGCAGTGAAGGCTTGACTTATTAGAATGTTAAGAGGTGCAAACATGTCTTAAGTTATGCAGAATTCTGCCATTGGCTTTTGTTGTGTCTAATCCCTCCTGACAAGCTCAAGTTACAAATGTTCTTGACCTCAGAAGTACCGCTAACATCTCATTATGAACTTATAACAAGATAATGAATAACTTAGCTGAAGCACAACAAACCAATCAAAAACTAAAAGCTTGTATCTACCAACTCAAGCTACAGACAACATAAGATGAGCTAAAAGCAGCCTTCTCAGTGCAGGTTATTGCCATGAAGTTCCAAGAGCTATTCTCATATTCCCTCTTCCCTCTCTGTTCTATCCAAAGAATAGCTTTAATAATCTCGAAAGAGAATTGCAAGTTTGTATTGCTTGCTCTTATCTTTTGTCTGTTGTTTCAGGGCATAAAAAATTACTCTCTTTATCATGTTTACTCTCTATGATCTGTCTGTATTATAGAAGAAATGATTGAATTAATCATGAGGTTTCCGTAGTAGACTTAACTGTTTACTATTGCTTGTAGAAGTGGTTGACTTTTCAATCATCATGTGGGGGTATACTTAACTGTTTACTTGTGCTGTAGAAGTGGTTGACTTTTAAATTATCCTGAAATGGGAGTGTGATTTCCTTTCCTATTTGTCTCCTTTGTTTTAATTAATGCTGTGTTAGTTTATACTATTACATGTCTGTGTATTGGATTTGTCTCTGCAACATTCTTTGATAGTTCTCACGGTTTGTTGATACAGATGCTCGACGCTTCGATGTTTGTTAACTTTGTGGCTTCACAGCTGCAAATTTCTTTCTGTACTTTTGTTTTCAATTGAGTGATTCTGATTTGCTCTCTACCAGGCAGCTGCTCAGGGCAGGGTTGCTGATCCTAATATTACCAAATACGCAGTCAAAGTTTTACCTGTAAGTTTTAAATTCTTATTGCTTTTATCCTTGACCTTCTTCTTAAAGAATAATATCTTAAGTTTGATCTTTTCAATGTCTACCATGAAATTATAGTAACTATCATTTGTTTCATTAGCTTGTGATGGTTCGTGCTCTTGAAAAGTTTGCTATTGTGACTAGCATAAGCTATTAGCACATACCGAGCTGAGTTGTTAGCACTGTCTTAAACCTATTTGTTCGCACCTCGGCTAATTCCACGGATACCTACTATCTCCTACGATCACATGTACCGGGTAACTTTGTGCACGAAAGTTTGGACTCATGGAAAGAAATGACCTAGTGTTTTTGCCTCCGCTGGGATTTGAACCTGAGACCTCATGATTCAGAACCCACTTTATTGATCACTAGGCCACACCCTTAGCCATACAAACCAAAACTTAGCCAAGGAACAGCTAAGTCCTCCGTTGCCAACTGGATCCAATTGCTGCCTTTCTTGTCCTGCATTTCCATGCATATTCTCATTGCAGTATTTCCTAGTGCAAGAAGAATGATCATCACTGCTGTTACTACTGAGTACATACTTGTTACTAGTTATTTTACAATGTCTAGTATCGAGTTCACAAAACTTATATTCTGCCACCTTTCCATATCAATCGCTTGCTTCATCATGCATCTGCTGGATAGGTTGTCTGCCCTGGTAATCTTACCTTTCTACCTGATTACTGGTTAAACTAGATCTGGGAATCCTGGGGTAAAGTTGTATACATGTGACCTATAGGTCAAGGGTTCAAGCCGTGGAAGCAGCAACTAATGCTCATAGGGTAGGCTTTTTGCATCACACACACCTTAGGCGCGACTCTTCCCCTGCATGAACGCGGGATTCTTTGTGTACTGGGCTGCTCTTTTTATATATATCTGAGTGTGAGCTATATCATGGGTAACAGAATAAGAACATGGTGGAAAGCTGTGTATAAACCAAGTTTGAGACCCTCTTGTCTTGTATTTGAAGTGGTTCTGATTATTAAATTACTTGTAATTTCAGTTCAACTATGATCTCAGTGCTTATGGATTTCGTGAGTATTTCAAAAGGCATGGAGTTCGAACATCAGATTCCAATTAAAAGTTAAGGAGTATCCAGCATGGTATATGATTTTACCAGTTTGGACAACTTGCACTGGCTTTCTTTTAAATTATCGAGCACGAAAGTGAAAAAGCTGTTTCAAAACGAGATCTCCTTTGCCTCTCCAGAACTCGAACTTAAGTTTTTTTGAAAAATAGGCACTGTTATTCTTCCATGAATTTTGCTTTTTCCAAATCCTTTTCAACAGTAATAGCCATTTGTGACACAAGCTGGTAGAGTGTGATAAAGAACTTAAACTTGAAGCTGAGCTCATATTAGTTGGCTCGTCAGATACAGAAGTTTCGATGTTTATAACTTGTGAAAGATCTCGCGGAATTCAGTAGCTATCAGGGATGTTACGACCAATGCAGACTACGATGGATGAGTTACTGATTTATGAAGTACAATTTCTTGTACAACTTGTAAAGAATAATGTTCTTGTTTCCCTCTATTCAGTACCCTTTTGAATATCTTGGTCCTGTGGTACTAAATTAAATTGGGACTTCTCTTTCTTGCCTTGTTAAGTATAGCAGATTAGAGAGAAATGTAACCAGCCCATGTAGAACATTTATGAATAAAATCTTCTATAATGACCTTTTTTTCTAGTGTTTGGTTATTTCAAGCTGTTGAATTAATGTGTTATCCTTAAATACATGTTACTATGGAGGTTGAAAAAGAGCTTAGTTCATTTATTGATGTAAATCACTGATATTTAAATTATGGTAAGAATTAATTTATTAATTTATGCTAGTATTTAGAGAAAGCAGTGATTTTGTGTAGCATGTTATGGTCTCAACACTCTTATGATAGTGAGAGGTTTAGCCTGTTCTAAGCCCTCTCATGATGCTTAGTAGATTTAAATGTACAGCAAAACACTAAAACAGGAAAGGAGAGAAGCAGAAAAAGGCAGAGTTACTTGCTCACTTAATACTAGGGTTGTTTGTCGGTCAGTATGGTACGCTATTTAGACATTTCGATTCGTATTTTCGATATTCGGTTTCTTAAAATGTATATCAATACCGTACGTAATTATATTAAATATGGTTCGGACCACCATCATTCTCACCAAAAGTCAACACTCTATCTACCTCAACTTGCCACCCCATCACCAACAACTATCATAGCCGGCACTGACCATCATTATAACCTACCACCACCCATCCACCACCTTCCTTAATCCCAACTACTATCACCACCACCACCATCCTCAATCATAATCGCCACCACTACCAATCACTACTAGCTACTAGTATGAACCACCATCATCAACCAAAACTACCACCAACTATCGCCTCTAATCCGTATTCACCCGTTAGCCATCACTACCAACAACTATTATATTTTAAAATATTATATATTTTATTGATAGAATGTTAGATTAGTTATTTCATTTGAATTTTATGTTAATTAATTTTCAGAAAAAGATAAATTTTATACATTAAGATGTTAAAAATCAAACAGTCTTAATTATTTCTATGTATATCTTAATACACATCTTAATATATTCAGATGTGTATTCAGATTTGAGACGTCTTAATCTTAAAAAAAAAAAACCAAATGAGGCCTTAATTCCATCAATTTTTCAGTTGTACCTCCCTACAACAGAGATATGGACGAATATGGAATACGTATTTATGAAAGCAAATTTAATAAAAATAATAATACGTAGAGGTGTACGCTTTTGAAACAGTAAAATAATACCGTATTTTAGAACTTTAGCTAAAGTTCGTCTTTTAATCTCTAAAGGATTTATATAACACAGTCAGACTTTTTTATAATATTCTTAGATAACAACACTTAAATATAAAAGCCAAGTTTTTTTGGAATCAATTTCATGTTATATTATAATATATGCTCTCTATAACAACACTTCACTATAATATCCAAAAATATTCGGAGCAAACGAGACTGTTATAGAAAGGTTTGACTGTAAAGCTTCTTGGCAAGGATAAAGTTTTTTATTAACACCAAATTAGTAAGAAAATACCATTAAGGATATGAATTATGAGCTTCATTCTATATATTGACTATAGGAAGTTATTTATACAATCACATCATTATACATAAAAATTAATAAATTTGTATAAAAATATTAATTAAAAAAATTAATAATCCAAAATATCCGTTAAACGTATGATTAATAATCTACTAAAATTTCACCACGGGTTCAATAACATTGATAATATACCTTATTTTATCTAATTGTTTCTATAATTTCCACTTGTTGGGGCCACAGACAATTAATAGGTCGAAGGTGAGAGATAATTTTATAATTAATTATTTTGTTACATAGAGGCTTCTGTAGTAAGTATATATCGATAACAAATGAAAATGATTATCCTCCTTTTAGAAAGACATTGTCCTCATATCTTGAAACTGGACACGTGGATAATTGAGTAGAGAGATAGCAAAGTTAATATTATCCTCATATTAAATTAATTATTTTTATTTTATTTTTTATCTTACCTTTATATATAATAATTTTATTTCGTATCTTTTTTTTAATAATATTACATAACATAATTAAGTCTGTACTCGTAGTACTCCATGCAGATGAGAGTGTACTGTACTCGTAGTTTTCAAGAAATTTGCTTCATTCTGTACACGTGGTTGCAGGCTGGATCCTGCATGGATTGTTGTACCTTTTTAATATATACAAAATAAATAAATTAATGTAAGTGTACTTTAAAATTTAATGACAGTAAGAAAAAAATTACGAAGTTTACAGTGTACTTTTATTTATTTACTTGACAGTTGTCACAGAAATTTTAGAAATATTCTCCATCTTATATATAACACAGCTGGCAGATAAAAAGTAGTAGTATACATTTTTAATATATAATGATGAAAAATTATATAATTCAAGAAAAATATTCATAATTTAGAACTTTAAATAAAATAAAACTTACAAGATTTTAAAAATTATACAAAAATAAATTATGTGACACCATGTAAAAAGATATGTTAATATTTACGAATGTTACACAAAATATGTAATTGTGTTTGACCGAGTATATTGTTTAAGAAAATAATAAATAATTTAAAACACGTCACATTTATTTTCGTAAATAGTATAAAATTATGTAACTAAAAACAAAATAAGTAATTTAAATTTAAACTATTCTTAAGGATATAGAAAATCATCCCAATTCTATATATAACGTTCTTCTTGCTTGATTCTTTTTGCCAACTTAGTCAAAGAACAAAACGTCATTATATATTTTATATTGTGTCAATATAAAACTCTTGCATTATTAAAATAATAAACTTATTAAGAATTTTGTCCCCCAGCACTTAAAATCATTGGAAGATAATATAAAGCATGAATATGTCCAAAGATTTTTAATTATATAATAAGTAATTAGATACCTTTTAAACATTCTAGGAACTTTTACTAGAATTTTTTGGCGTATAATGGAAGAAAAATACTCTACTTTAATATATTATAATTAAACGAAGGATAAAGCCAATATTTGGACGCAATTGCTTCTAATTATTACCAACTTAATCACAAATTAATTACTATTACTAATTAAAAAAAATTATGTTGTCCCCATTATAATATCCCATAATAATATACACTTTCCTACAAAGAATCCATTAAACATTAGGGTAACGACCTACAATAATCTGCCGCACGCGTTAGTAAATCACATTAAGTTTGACACGTCAGAGACGTTAATTGTGTGTACTTTGACTAATTTAATTCAAAACAGTAATTAGATGGCTACTCCACTCGGCACTATGGGATCACTAAGGCCGATATTCGTCCCTACTCGACAGGTGGGTCTTGTGCTCAAGCTTCCTTTGATCGACGTTTATCAAAAATGGATTCATAATTTCTTAATAAGTTTAACTTTCAATTAGGGTCGAATTTGATATTTGATAAAACCTAAGTAATCCA